GTGTTCCAGAAATGTTTTTAGCTTTAATTGTTAGTTAAGTTTTCGTTTACTGGATCATCATTGAAATCATACCTTTTTTTAAAAAAAGGGTTGCTTACTTTCTCTTTAATTTTTTTATTTTTTTTTGCTGGAAAATTTTACCTTGGTTTCATGTGAAACTCTAGGCCCCCCAGCATGTTGGAAACATGTTCCAACAATCATGCTATCTCTTTTTGATGGCAAAATATTTTTATACATATAAAGTTTGCAACACTGCAGCGTTGTCGACATGTCTATTTTGTCATGTCTGTCAATATATTGCGCGCCATTTTTGTCATTGCAGCAGTGTAGCTTGGAGCTTGTCCACGTTAACAAGCATCCAGAAACCTTTTCACATTTTAATAAATTTTATAATCTAGCTCTGCCCTGTTGGGCATCTAAGCAAGCTCTGGCTTCTTGTCATCTTGTAGTAGTAATTGTAAATAGTGTAAATATTGTGTAAATTGTTGTAAATATAGTGTCAGTGAAAAGCGCGTGTGTTTTAGTTCCCTATCCAGTCGATCATCCAGTCCACCTAATTATACAGTCCACTAATTATCAAGTTATTTATCTTCCATTATGTGGTTTTGCACAACATTAAATCAAAAATATTTACGTACTAGGTAGTAGGTACCGTCAAACGGGGTTAAGTAAGTCAGTATAGGGTAAATAATGGGTAAAGTGAATCACCCGGATGGGTTGTCAAACTCTACTGCGCAGAATCCTTATTTTTTAGCCCTTTCCGGTGTTCGCATGATATTCGTACGTTACTTTTATTTACTGATGCTGGTGAGGTAATGTGCCGTAGGTTATGAGAGTCAGCATGAACGTATTTCGAACGTAGGTTTTTTTGTGGTTTGGGAAAAAGTCGAAAAGGTTTAGTTGTAGGAGCAAGGGGTATGTGTTCCGGATATATGACTGATAACAAGTGTAGCCCAGTCATGTTGGCAACATATTTCAGAAGGTTTTTTTGATTCTACTTATATGGTCGCATGAATTAGCTTATCCAAAGCACGTGACTTTGACAAGCAAACAAAGGGTTTGTGTGCCTCTTGGCGGACATTTTAATTTAAGTTTGACAGCACCTTCAATAGTCAGCCTATCCAAAACACGTCACCTTGACAAGAAAACAAAAGGTTTGTGTGCCTCTTGGCGGACATTTTAATTCAAGTTTGACAGCATCTTGGAAAGTCTAATATGATTTTTTTAGCCTAAAATTAACACAACAGGGGGTAAAATGAATCAGCTGCAAAATGAAAAAAAAAAAATAAACAAGAATGAACAGAAGAGTAAATTGTTTTAATTTTATCGGAAATTTAGAATAACTGTGTTGAAGAGACTACAACGAAAACTGCTCCTATTTCCTCCCCTCTTTCAAAATGCCTAGAAAGTACGAAAAAAAGTTTCACATTTTTTTTTTATTTCAAAAATGTGTTCTACTACACTAAAAACATAGTCATACCAAATATCAAGCATTAAAAATCAGCCGTTAATTTTTTATAAATATTTGAAGTTACGCTCGAAACATCGCCATTTGAAACGACCGATTAGTGTGACGTCACTCGGCAACAGAATTCCGATGACACTGACGAGCACTTTGAACTTCGAGCAGGTAGATTAAGATTATGGTTATGTTGTTATGTATGCAGTTTCTGATAGATTTGACATTGGCAATACCAGCAGCACATGACGTGGCAGCGGCGCGACCCGATTATTACTGCCTTGTGACGTCACGGCCCATAGAAACACGTTTTTGATAGCGTCATGAATTTCGAATTATTTGGTATTTTCAATTGAAGATTTCGGACACCAGAGATAAGATATAATATTTTTTTCTTAACTGCATCATTTATTTGGATGAATATTATTGTGTTTTATTATTTATTCCATATTTAATTTATTGTGCAAGTTCCCTGTCTGACGGGGAAGAGTACCGTTTAGCACTATTTACCGAATCCACTCTTTGAAAAATGGTCGCCAACCTGTGCTAAACGAGGAACAAGAAGTTCGCATCAAGGACTCTCTTCAAATATGCACAGTGCACACAGTGGGGGATTCCTCTAAAATGATATCATGGAAATTGAGCAACAATATCTTAACAAGTTGGGACTGACCGAAAAAAGATTCAAAGACAATCTTCCAGGACTCGATTGGACGACTGGTTTGAGTTATTTATGGAACGACGTCCAAAACTCACCGTTAAGTTAGCGGAGAATGTTCTTTTTTTGCGTAAAACCAATTTTTTGAACAAAATACACTTCTTTCAACCTTATGAACTGGTTCGCTTTACCCATTATTAGTCTAAAGTGAATAAAACGTAAATTTAAACGGGTGATTCACTTTACCCCATAATAGTGGGTAAAGTAAACCAACCTTTGACCTAGAAAAAAGGGCGGTTCCCATACTCAAAAAGAGCCAATATGTTGTTGAATCCTTTGGGAAGGGTGCTAGAACATACATTATTTTTTGCATATTTTTCGTTCTGTTGGTTTCGAACTTCGAAGATATCAACAAAAAATCGTAATTTTTGATTCACTTAACCCTGTGAGCCGCGAAATTACACCTAAGCACGACGACGAGACAGTAGCGTAAAACAAGTAGATAAATAGAAAGTTCTCGTGCGTCATACGCGACGCTAATACGGTACCGCTAACAATACGGTATTTCATGTGGTATTTTATAGTTCTCGGGCAGGAAGACACATAAATCCTCTAATCCCTTATTCTGTTTACAATTTGACAGCTGAGTTGAGTGATCTAACTCTACTTTTTTTGCTTTTTTTCTAACTTTTATTTATTCTGAAGATTCCTGAGCTTGGTTCATTTTCCCTTGGTGTTTTTTATGGACGAATTATTAAAAGTTGCTGTTTTTGCAGACATAAATGGAGCGTAAACTAGTTTTGACATAGCATAGCGTTACGGTAAAGCATCCGGTAAGTTCCGTTAGATAGCTGGTTCCGCTAACGCTAATACCGTAAGAACTGTCATACTTGTCAAATAGCGTTACGGTATTTGAAATTTGGACAGCACGAGAACTCTCTAATTTATTATATTGATTAACTTTTGGTCTATCGTCTATCGGTCTATCACAGTTCACAAACAACGCAAAACGAAACGCAACAACATAGGCTCATATTTTGAACCGATTCCGAACCAGTCTGGAATTAATTGAAGACTGTCGTAGAGCGCATGCCCAGCTCTGGAATCGGACTGGTTCAGAATTTATTTTATCGCGAACAGTTTTGGAACGAGTTCTCCAGACTGTCTATACGTGAACGAACGTTATGTGTCAATCCTGTAGTTCTTGCTAAAATCCTAGGACCACTAGAACTGGTTCAGAAACGGTTTCGAAACGATTCTGGTTGATCCGCGAATCCAGAACCGTAACTAAAAGTTCGCAATTTTGTGATCCGCGAACGCCATGCCATTACTTGAACTGCGTATGCGAAATAGTTTCGAACTAGGACCCGGATCACGAACCCTCGACTCGATAGTATCGTCCATATGAATAACATGGACGATACTATCGAATTGTGGGTTCGTGATCCGGGGGCAGTTCAGAATCCTTACCGCGAACGAAGCTATTGTAAGTGTACAAACACATTGCAAGCAGGTTTCCGCTTACCGGTAACCAGCGCCGACTCGCGCTAATAGGCGCGAAAAATGCAGGTACTCTACCTGCTTTTTACTGTGCACTAGCCGATTTGAAAACATGCATTCACTTTTCGCGCTTATAAGCGCGAGTCGGCGCTGGTTACTGGTAAGCGGAAACCTGCTTGCACTGTGTTTGTACACTAAAAGTGAAAGCTGTTTACGGAAACTATGATCTGGTTAACCCGATCGTCAGCAGACGTATTTTGTTTTTTTTTCAATCGTATTCATTAAGGAAAGATAGGAAACATTCAGCTGCTGATCGGGTTAACCCGATTACAGTTCCGTAACGTTCCGTAAACGGCTAAATAGAAAAGAGTCAAAAGAGATAATGCATGCAGCATGCAGAGGGCGCCCACGTCGCCCACAGTGCTCTTTCTCAGTTTGGTCGGATCAAAGCTCGACTCGAAGCTAATCTCTGGCTAACGACGAATGTTGGGCGCTGCGTCATCAATACTTGAATTTATCACAGACATTGCAATTTGCTGCTGCCTTTTGCACGGGCACTGGTTTGACGTATTTATATGATTACTATCGATATTCGTATTGTTGATGGTTGACAAGAGAGGTAACATAAGCAAAATCAATTTCCGTGCCACGACAAATGACGCGTAAAGCTGTTGGATTTTTTTGGATTGTAAAATATGGATGGATTAAATCAGGCGCCTTCGGCGCCCCGATATTCCGGCGCCTAGTTCGCCACCCCCTAGTTGCGGCCCTGAGGTAGCCTAAATTCTTATAATAAAAACTGTAAATTCAAACTATTATGATATTCAAAAATTATATTGTAGGTACTCAAATAATGATAAAGCAAAAAGATATCAACTTTAGTTGATTTTAGTATCTGGAACCTGTTTCATAAAAAATATTAGTCTAATAATATTACTCTTTAGCAAAAGGCATAAGTCAAAATTATATATAATTTTGACTTATAATACCTGCTAAAGAGTAATATTATTAGACTAATATTTTTTATGAAACAGGCCCCTGTCTTAATTTTACAATGTTAGAAATATATTCATAGGCTCATAAGTAGGCAGGTAGGTACTTATTTAGATACGATTTTCTACTAAAGGTAGGTAAGTACTTTTAGGCAATCTTATAATAGATTTCACATATGTACCTACTTGTAAAAGCAAAAAAAAATTGACTATTTTGCATTATTTCTTAAGGGCCGGTTTCTCAATAGCAAGTCACCCTCAGGTTAAGCATATTTTCAGGGTAAACATTGCAACTGGAGATGTTTACTCTGGAGTTAAAACCAACCCGGAGGTGACTCGCTATTGAAAAACCGACCCCAAGTAATTTTTATATGAGTTAGTAAGTACTTACCAGAACTATTGCTAAAACTGTAACCCCAAAAAGTCGCCAGAAATTTCTCATTTTGACAGTCAAATATCTAATGAGGGTTAACATAGAATGAAAGCTGAATTTATAATTTTCATTTTAACAATTATAACTACATAAACTATAAACACAAAATAATTGCATTATGATTTATATGCCCATAAAAAGCTTCCTGAATTCCTGGAAATTAAAAAAGGTGCTGTTTTGGTATGTCACTAATCCAATGATTTATGATCAATCATGATGATGATTATGGGACCGTGATGAATTTTTGTTAACCTTAAAATTTATCATTTCCTGATTTAATTTTGTTAATAGGCGAATAAACAGTGTCTAACGCGGAAATTGCCAATTTTATTATAAATTTATAAATCCTTAAGTAAATATGAATTGTCCCAATTTCCACATTAAAAATTACTATAAAATCATCAGCGCATGAACAATTACAGAGATATGTCTAAATTGACTTTAGGGGAAAATTACTACATTTACCTAACTAAATATGGAAGTGACAATTACGAAGAATTGTTGCCGCTTTCAACCAAATCACATTAGAAATTTTCACTTTTGAGAAAATTTTCATTTTCTGATGCGAAGAGGGATGGTTTGTTTCTAGGTTTGTTCAATTCTCTTGGGAGTTTTGTTTTAATAGATTTATGTGTATAATATTTCCGTGATACTGTTCAGTCAGCTTCAAAGTTTTTCTAGTGAGGGTAGCCAATTTAAGAACAAACCAGACATTAAGGAAAAGGAGCTTATCGATAGGCGAGAAGCCTGTGTCAGAAGGATCACGCGTATCTCTGGAATTTATAGAGGATTTCAAAAAGAGTTGGAATATTAGAACAGAAAGAAAATGTGTTCTGTGAAAGAAGAGGCCAGATGTCTTTTTACAAAGAATTTCTAAACGAAACAATCTAGCATCAACACAGGAAGTGCCACACCTATTCCCCAATCACCACGAAGAATTCCTTTCGCAAAGCAACACCGAGAAATGCTGAAATATGACCTCATAGAAGAATTTAATAGTCCATATTCATCACGGGTCGTACTTAGTTAATAATTACACACAAAAAATTTATTGCTTCACTATGTGAAGAAAGCAGAAAGATACCTACCCCCAACAGTCTATGTGGATCCAAGTGGTTTTTAACTATAGATTTGAAAAGTAGATATTGGCAGGCGGAACTCAATTAAGAAAGATGAAGAGAAGACCGCCTGTATTGCTGAAAATGGCCTAAATCAATTGTTTCGTCTTTATTCTAAATAAATTTTATACAATTTGGCAAAGGTGCAAAATTCCTGTTTGCTCGCATTTTTTTGTTTTGTTTCGCGCAAAAAAAGTCGTACCTCTAGATTTTGATAGTGGACGTACCAGAAGCGAGTAATTGGACAGAATTGCTAAGAAACTCGATGAGACGACACGGGCGCGTCGTCGTACGGCTTAAAGGTCTGGGCACACATGACCGCACCGAGTCCGCACCGAGCCCGCACCGAGACACGGCCGTGTCTCGGTGAATAGTTGTACCGTGTTTTCTTATGTCGTAGTCTTCACATCTACGCACCGTGCCCGCGCCGAGCCCGAGTGACACCACCGCACCGCGTCCGTACCGTGCGAGATTAGTTTTGTTTAATTTTTGACGGGCACGGTGCGTTGCAGAAATGGAGAAACTGATAGAAGAAGTCAAAAAGTATCCTGTATTGTACGACCAAAGAAATGAAAAATATAGGAATGCTGAATATAAGGAAAGGGTATGGACTTTAATTGCTACGCATTTAGAAATAAAGGGTAAGTCAAAATACATATGTTTTATTTTCAATTAAGAATCCTGTTAAAATAGGTTGAAATTGATTATACCTACTATACAGGGTGAATCTGAAAGTGAGGTTTTATTTTCAAAAGGATATATATCTCCACCAAAATAAGACTCGTAGTACGACCGTCATGCGGCCGTGTGTTGGAAATGTGTGGCTTTTACCTTATTGAGCGACACACTGCCGTGTTACTGCACGGACTCGGTGCGGGCTCGGTGCGGATACGGTGCGGTCATGTGTGTCCAGACCTTAACCCGGTCGCAATATTTTCTAATCTCAAAACTTCATTGTGAAGTCCTCTCGTATCAACCTTCTACAAAGTTACATAACCCGTAAGTGGGAACACCATAATCCGCAGCGCGTGTGTAAAGCAGGGTCCCTGCAGGAGTGCACTTATGGAATCATTGGGTAAGTCCCTTTTATCAAAGTCTCTTTTATCATTATTTAGAGGTTGCGCCGCAAAGTAAATACAGTCCACTACCAGCTAAGACATTACGTATTAGCTACCCGCAAAACATTTTGATCCTTAACGAGCCAGATTTCTTATTTTGTTCTGGTGCTTAAATTGATTAACTGGTTAATTATTGCAATTAATCGATTAATTGAAAGTATTTTATTTGATTTTTTTCATTTTGTTGAAATTCATTCGCGTTATACATCATTCTTAGCAAAAAACTGCAAGTGTTTTAATTATTCTCGGTTTGTGTTTTAGACAAAATAAAACATAAAAGGCATTAATTATTGTAATTTGGCCAGTAGAACGAAAACATTTTTATCAGAAAATCCATAGAAGTTGTAAATTGAACCTCAAGAGCAGAGCAAAAAAAAAAGGAAAAAACTTGTTTATTTGAACATAAACATTCCAAGCTTGAAATTCTTTCTTTTTTTTGCCTTGCCCAAATGCAAATTCAGGAAAAGAACGGATTTTGCTAGATAGTAGGTACTATTCGATTTAATTTAATTTAAATTTGATTTCAATTTTTTTTTGGCAATATGTCAGAAGATTTAACAATTCTCACTGCCCAACGCAAAATTCTTATCAAACGAATTTCTGAAGTCTACGATATTGCTAATAAAGCGATCGCAGATGAGACAACGCAAGAATATTTTAAGACACGCTATGAGGCTATTCCCTCTTATTATCAAGATTTCGAAAAAAATTCACATGACAATAGTTTTTCATAAGGATATGTCTGAGGACAAATGGGATGGCGAAGAAGAAATTCGAAGCGAAATAGATGAAAAGTATTATACTACGAAGAGTATCTTCAATCAATTCATTAAAAATGAAGCAATCGCTAATGCGAGTGTCAATATGACAATGTCGCAACCGTTAGCTTCACCCACTGCCGCTTTGCATAACGTTGCCCCGACTATAAATGTTAATTTGCCCAAGTTGACCCTACCTGTATTTGAGGGTGACCTTAGGCAATGGCCAACGTATTTTGATTTGTTTCAAAACCTAATTCATAATAAAGCTGGCTTATCAGATATAGAAAAGTTCCAGTATCTCCTCTCTTTTATTAAGGGGGAACCGCTAAATTTAATCAAAGCTATTCCAATAACGGAAGCAAATTACAAAATTGCCTATACAACCCTGGTGAGTCGCTACCAAAATAAAAGATTACTGGCAACCACCTATTTAACTGAAATATTGAATTTCCCTAAAGTTTCGAATGGGTTTAATTTACGCAATATTTTTGATTCCTTTATGGAAAATTTAGACGCCCTTTCTCTCTTAGGATTTCCAGTTGTACATTGGGATTTTATTCTTCTGAATTTATTACTTAAAAAACTGGACGTTGACACAGTACAACGTTTTGAATTAGCCCATGCACAATTTGATATTCCAACCTTTAATCAGTTGAAGTTATTTCTTACAAATCAATGTAAAGCTTTAGAGACTATGGCTCATTCGAATAATCAAATTTCGCAAACAAAAGGAGCAAATAATAGTCGAGGCGTAAAAGGTGATCCTGGAAAAATTTATCCTCATGCATTGTTGGCAAATGCAAGTAACGGCAACAGTCAAACTCAAAAGATAGTACCTTCACAAAGATGCAGTGTGTGTAATTTGTCACATTTGGTTTATAATTGCCCTAATTTTCGCAATAACACTCCCAAAGAGAGATTTTCGATTTGCAAGCAAAACAGAATGTGCATCAATTGTCTGAGTTCGGCTCATAACTTACAGAAGTGCAAATCTACCTCGGTTTGTCGCATCTGTCGTTTGCGCCATTATACTTTACTGCATTTTGATTCAGCCAAGAGTCCAAACTCCGCAGATTCACAAACTAATTCATCTAGTTCAGTTCAATCGCCCCCTGATAACCAAATACCCTCATTGTTTAGCCCAAATTCAAGTTCTTCGCCGACTATGAATTCGTGTGTTGGAGCTGTAAATCCAAATTCAGTGGTTCTATTGGCAACCGCGCTAGTTAATGTCTTGGATTCCCAAGACAACCCGCATTCCGTTAGAGTTTTGCTGGATAGTGCCAGTCAGGCAAATTTTATCTCAAAAAGGTGTTTCAACCGCTTAGGTTTGACTTCCTCAAAACTCAATATACCTATTAAAGGTATTGGCGAAATGTCTTCTCTTGTATCACAAGGTGTGACGCTATTCTCGATCGGTCCTCCTATCAACAATAAGTTGTTAGTCAATTTAGAAGCTATTATCCTACCCAAAGTATGTTCTGACATGCCAACCGCATTCTTTAAAACCGATTCTTGGGATCACATCAACAATTTGAAGTTAGCTGATCCATCGTTTAACGCTCCAGGTAGTATCGACATGTTACTGGGAGCTTCAGTTTTTCCTCATATTTGGTTGCCTGGAAAAATCGATGGAGGTGGAAGATCTCCAGTTGCCCTCAACACAATTTTTGGCTGGGTGCTGATGGGAAAAATCAATTTTCAAACTCCAACTCCACTTTATACTTTCTCAGCGCTTGTTGAAAATGATGATCTTACAACAAAGTTGCAACAATTCTGGGAAATTGAAGAAGTTCCTCAAGCTAGCACTCTCTCCTCTGATGACCTCTTGGCCGAAAGTTCGTTTGTGAATACGCACCGTCGCACGTCCCATGGACAGTTTATTGTTTCCCTGCCATTCAAAAATGGTGAACCGCTTCTTTCTGATTCACGTTCCATTGCTTTACGTCGATTCTATAGCCTAGAACGGAGATTACAAAGTAATCCCCAAACTTACAAGGCCTATTGCGATTTTATGCATGAGTATTTGTCCCTGGG